CCCACCCCCAGCACCTCCTGTTAGGGTATTCAGACCCCATTTAAGAAGTTAGACATCGATAAGTTTAACTGCGGAAACAGGATGAGGCTGACGGAGCAGTTTTCTTATTTGAGGACAGGTGATGGCAGATACAGGCTAGTGAATGCAGGGTGGGGGGCTGGACCCGATGATCTGTAAGGTCCTTTCCAGCCCCTAACATCTATGAAACTATGAAAGACAAGAACGCCGTCCCAGGTGGTGTGCCTCCCCACCAGTAATAGAGCCTGCTCGGTGCTTAACTTGATGTGTCCTCAGATTAAACCCTTGGTGGAAGTCCCACGAGGAGCCTGCTTGCCTTTCAAAGCTTGGCCCTCGACCCAGGGCCTCTGCACTCGGCTGACTCGAAGCACACAGGGTGTTGCTCCTGCTCACGGAGCAGCATGCTGGCAGAAGGGAGCAGAGCCCAGAAAAAGTCCATTGCAACATCTCATGCAGACATTCACAACAGCGTCTTTGCTCTCACAAGGTCTCAGAGGAGACAGCCTCGAAACCATCAAATATTAGCTAGAGGAGATGGGGAATGACCTTTTATTGATATATAGGGGGTAACCACCAACCCAGAAAGTTGCCCTTTGAATACCACCACAAGGCATGACTACGCACCGGCTCCTTCGCTGCAAGCAGTACAGCGGTGCCAAAAGGAGCTGCCAAAACCCACATTCTGGATGGTTTCGACAAGGCTTTTGAAACCAAATCAGCTGGCCCTCTGGGCACCCCGCTAAAGCCTCTCTCAATCCCAGGTTTTTGGGGATGGAGAGAGGTAGATGGAAGGTTGGGTTTGGCACAGCAAGAGAGGAGATCTGCACCTAGAATGGATGGCCAAGGTTTTGTCTTGGATTTGGGGAGCAGCATTTCCCCTGCAAGAGTCAAACTGGAGACCCACAGCATTGGCTGGGAGGATGCTGGTTGGACTTGATGATCTGTTCAGGTCCCTTCTGACCCTAGAAACGACGCAACTATGATGTGATAATTAGGTTGCATATTCCATGCTGAAAAATGCAGCTGGAGACGAACATTGAAAAGGTGTTTTGTACAGACCAAATCAAGCATTTAATAAAAAAAGACACTCAGCACCCACTTCACTCTGCTTTTGCAGAACGCCTTGAGAAGTCCCACAACCCAACAGCCAAAGCAACGCGACTTCGGTGGTAAATAGGGGAAGCGGAGGCAGAGAGAAAAGCAAAAGCCAACCAAAGTCACACAGCAAGACACTGTCAGAGCTCCAGCTCAGAGCCAAAGTCTGCATTTCCTGCTCTCACCAGTCACCCCTGAAAAAGCAATGGCCCCATTTTGAGGGGGACGCTTGCAACATGAGAAGCAGAGTTTGAGAAGTGTGTGTGGGGAGGGAGGAATTAGCTTTGCAGCATGTTTAGAGGCCGGCTTTCAGGGTTTAATATAAATGATGCATAGCTTAACTTGATCCAGGCAGCCTTTTCCAGAGTTAGCTTCAGACCAGAATAATCCCAGCATGCTGCTCCCTAGGGTTCAAACATGCCTCTAGCTTCATAACATGGGCTAATCTGTTGCTGTTCTTTCCTTCCTCTGGTTCCTTTGCCACCTTTAATAGATTTCTAGGGGAACCAGTGATTTGTTCGTAACTTCAGCTTCCCATTAGAAGTTAAATCCCTGTAGGACCAGAAGGTCAGTCAGTAGGTGCTCAAAGTCCATCGCTGGAGGAAACAGTTGGGTTATTCATGCCCACTCAGCAGCGGTCCATTCAGCCAATTATAGGCCAACGCTCTGCTTGCCACAGTCAAGCCTAGGGCCATTTGTTTGAAGAATTTCCTCTGGACACACTCCAAGTAGGCAAACTTCAGCAATGGCCTGGACTGACATGCAAGATTTATACTTAATTTCCTGCCAGAAGAAGGGACTCTGTCACTCAGGCCCAGGCTTTAGGTGCGTGCACCAGATCATTCAATGCAACATTCAAGCGAGTTGGCTAGACCGAGCCCTGTTAGCGGTCCATCAGTGCTCAGCACAGACCTCTCTAGGCTGGCTCACACATGGAAACAAGCCATCCCTCCACATGAGACTGGGTCAGGTGTCTATTTGCATTCTTCCTTAAGAAATCTCTTTGCAAGAGAGCCGTGAGTGTGAGAAATGGATTAACGTTACAGGAAAGCCAGCACAGTAAGGCAATTTCGTGCTCACAGGGGAACAGGTTTTCCGACTCCGGTCACTTTTGGAGATGTGCGTCTCCTACAACCTTCCCTTTCCAGGACAGAGGGAAGCGTAGGAGACCGTCCCAACTAGCAGAAGTGAGGATTCCTCCCTATTGCAAGAGCATTACCAACATGCGTGTAAACAGGATCTAAAAGCACGCACGCAGCAGAAGCCGTTTCCTCCTCACTTCCCTGCAGATGTTATGCTGCTGCTATTTTGAACAGGTGTATACCCTGAACAGATTATGTGAAGCGCATCATTAATTGTTAATATTCTGGAGTGCACAGCTGCATTTAGATGAAGATTAATATTTAAACACAGCATAGAGTTTTCTCACTCGCCCAGCTTTAAGGCCATCTCCTTGGTAAACACAATTGAAATGAGAGCAATGAATGGTAAAGGCTAGCCCGGGACACAGACGTGGAGAAAATGACGTGGCAGTGTAGCTAGGACCACAGGGGTATGAGAAGGCAGCTCCACAAGAGACGGCTGGGCTCTCGATCCAGCATCTGCACACAGACACACAACTTGCATATTGGCTTGTAAAGAGATTCCTCCCAACCCAAGCCACTGAGAAGTCTACGTTGGACCGTGTGTTAACAGCACGGGAACAAACCAGGTTTTGATTCCAGCGTGTTGAATTTGCAGCCGCTCGGCAGCACGCGTTCTTCAGAAATGTAAGTTTATAAAGTACGACGCACGCTGCCCCTTTCGTGTCTGGTCCCTTAGTGCACGGTAAAGCCAGAACAGCAACAGCAGCAGCTATGTGACTATAACATCCGAACGGGATGCACGTGCTCTTTGCTTCAGTCTTCTAGTCATCTCTCTTGGATAGTACAGTTTGCAGCAAAAACTACACATTAGTCCTTTGAAGGAATAAAAAATGAATAGCCAGCAGGAGGATAGAATAAGGAGAACCAATGTATTAGCAGAAACCTCCCTCCCAAGGACAAAACACCCCAAGCTACAGCTCCCCGACAGCCTTCTTTGCTATCGACAAGAGGCAGCAGGCTGACAAGAACTAACAACTCCGTCCTGGGATGCACGACAACTATATGCGCTGCAAAGGGAAGAGGAGGACAGTTTGTTGCCCACCATTACAACGGAGTCACCTGCTCCCCCCACTCCTCTTTGCAAGGCCTCGAGATGCTCTTTTGATTTCCACGGTCCCTCAGAGTTAATGGCTCCGGCTGCTCCCTTCCAAATCAGCGTTAGCAATTCAACAGCTGGTGAGAGGTGCAACGACTACTCTTTATTATGCAATAACTACCTGAAGGGCCGACGCCTTATTTAATATGTAGATCTACCGCCTTAATTTGATGCACTAAGGTTAATTCCACCAACTCTGACGTCCGCGTTTTGCAGGATCAGGGGTGCAGATCCATCACACTTTCTCGGTGCGGTGGTTTTCACGTGGTACCCACGCACCTTGCGTGTGTGCATGCCGGAGTCTGCAATGACCCCCCTCTGCAAGCTCCAGCGCTCTCGGGATCAAACGATCCTCTCCGCTGTCCATAAAGCCTCCAGTTGTCCACGGACCCATGGAGACTTTCTCAAATGTTTTATGTGAAATTATTCAGGATTTGTGTGTGCCATCCTTGGTCTGCATTGGAGCGTTTCTCTGAGCGCATTTGATACTGAAAAGGTGAGACGTTAGGGCAGGACACGTCGCCCGCGATGCCCGCGGGTGTGCTTTGTTCGGGATAGGGCTGCGTGTGCCGGCCCCTGCCCGCTGGGTGTGCCTGGGCACGTGCAGGGGTGCACGCAGCCCCGGGAGCTCACAGCCCCGAGCCGCGTCACAAGAGAGCACGCGTGCCTCACACCCCCGTCCACACCCAGGCCGGTTTCCCGCCTCGCTGCTGGAGAGCGCGTGAGTGCTAGTGCAAGCTGGCCTGCTCCCTGCCCAGGCTGTGCGTGGGGGCACGCTGTGCAAGCACGTTTGTGTGTGTGGGCACATTGTGTGAGCACGTTTGTTCGCATGTGTGGGCACGTTGTGCAAGCACATTTGTGTGTGTGGGCACATTGAGCATGTTTGTGCACACACACGTGGGCACATTGTGTGAGCACGTTTGTGCATATGTGTGGGCACGTTGTGCAAGCATGTTTGTGTGTGGGCACATTGTGCGAGCACGTTTGTGCACATGTGGACACATTGCGAGCACGTTTGTGTGTGTGGGCACATTGTGTTTGTGTGGACACGCTGTGCGAGCACATTTGCGCGTGTGGACACGCTGTGCGAGCACCGCCCCTGTAGGCAGGCACGCTGTGTGAGCATGTTTGTGCACGTGCGTGTGAGCACGCTTGTGTGCATGTGCGAGTGCACGCGTCGTGTGCACAACGCAGACCCTGCTCAGACACGTGCGTGCCCCCACGGCGCATGCACGCTGCAGGCTGCGCACGCCCCCCCAGGCGCGCGCACGCAGGGGGTAGGCAGGGGGCGTGCCTATGACTGACGTCTCCCTCCCTTCCCCGCCAGGCCGGAAGCGCAACCCCGTGACCCGGAAGCGCTCGTGAAGCAGCGGCGAGGCA